GACTAGGCTAGTCGTTTTTGTTTTTCTGCGGCAGTTAAATATGCACAGTCCTATTCTGCTTCTGGACACGTGAAGTAAAAAACACGTGTCGCAATAATTTTTTTTCTTTTGTTTTTTGTTTTAATGTTTTTTTTTGCTTTTCTTTTCTGGACGTCCTGCTGGAACTCCTCTTTTTTTTTATTTTAATGTTTTTCTTTTTTTTTCTTTGTGGGAAATAAGCGCGGCTCACGTTTAGTCTGCGCTGTGCCCGCAACCGTCGCTGCGTGTCTTCGTGCTTTGTTTGTCCCCACTGCCGGCTGTGTTGGTGGCATGCCTTCTGTTCCACTTTTTTCTTGCTGGTCGCATGGATGGTGGTGCCCGATGCCTGACTGCTATGTGGGCAGGGAAGCCGCTTCTCGGTTTGGCGTTGCCCGTGAGGTTTCACTTTTTCAATGCAGTGAGTTTATTCGGTACGAATGTGTGCACCTGCAACACCGAGCCTCACGTCCCCACACACAGCCGTGGATGCACCAATACGCCTCCTGTTTTATGTAAATCACATTGGACAGTGGCGCAAAGTCGTCCAAGCACGAGGAATGGAAGAAAATAGCGCTTGTTGAGTGCGGGAGGAAGCGATGGGCCGGGGACACGAATGCCGGCCGCACCCTGCTGGAAAGGAGGTGAGTTTTACAAATTGGCGTCAGCCCCTACCCCGAGATGTTTTGCACAACTGCCACTCCGCGGGGTTGGGTGACTTGCACCGCCGACCGTCGAGCTCTTGGGGCCTGTCCCCTGCGTGCGTGCATGTGACCGGCACTTGCTCCTTAGCGCCGGTGCTTTGAGGACCGTAAATTGGGCTGTGGGAATGATGCGACGGGTTTCTGCCTTTTTGCTCGGCCGTGTGCTAACACCGGAGGCACAGACTGCGCCTCATCTGCTGTGACCGGAAGCTGCGTTGTACACGATTCACGGTGTGTGAACAGCGACGCGCTCAAATTGCTCTTATTTGTTTTCATTTGTTGGTGACGTTTGCATCGGTGCGGTGGTGGATGTGCACTGCCTCGGTGATGATGGGCGTTTCTAGTGCGCTGAGGGCAGCCGCCCCACGCCGGAGAGAACACTCTCCGTCGGCTATGCAGTTTCATTGCTATCCATCGAGGTGTGCGCAGGCATATATGCTAGTTGTTGTGTGTTTTGTCCATTGGTGCACCGCATGTATTTTGTGCGTTGCTGTTGTTGATAAGCTGGCCGTGCTTGTTTGCCTGTTTGATGCCACACTTGTATTGTTGTTGTTTTATTGAAGTGTTGTTTGCTGTGCACTTGCGGATCATCAGTTGGCGCAGCGGGGGTTTGGCACATTTGTTTTGTGTTATGTTTTTGCGGCATTCCGACTGTTTATTCTGCGGGTGCGTGCGGCCCTGTTTTTGTGGGGAACAGCACCGGATGTGTGGGGTGTGGGTTGTGGTGGGCGGCAGGCGCCGTCCACGTTTTGTGTGGAGCGTTTTATTCTTTTTTGGTCTATTTTTTTTCTGTTTCATGCTGTGCGGGATTGGGGGTGCCTATTTGCGTGTGTGTGTGTGTGCAGTGGCGTTGATCACGCCGGTGTGGGACGGTGGCCGGCGGGGTTCACGGGCAGCAGCCCTTCGTACCCACCACGTTGTTGTTCTCGCTGACTCTCCTCAACACTCTGCGGTGCGTGGGGCACTCACATACCGTCGTGGTGGTCCTCCTGCGTGTGTGTGAGGTGTGCGCCGTGTACTGTGTGAGT